GCTTTCAGTCTTTGGCTACTAAGTATTATATAAGTTGTATATTTTTCACAAATAAATTTTATCAGGATAAGATAGTTTTCCTTTTATTCCTAGTTTTTGAGAGATTTGGGTATACATAGATGTTAGCCTTTTGTCAAAGTTTTTTTCTTCATCTGCTAAGATAATCATGTGGTTTTCTTCTTTAGTCTGTTAATGTGGTAAATCACACTGAATTTTTAATATCTAACCAGTCTTGAAGTCCTGAATAAACTCTACCTGCCAATAGGGTATTATCCTTTATACATATCACAGGACTCAATTTGCCAAAATCTGCTACTTGTGTTTCTATATTCATGAGAAACATTGGTCTGTAACTTTCTTTTCTTTGAATATCTTTTTCTACTTTGGGTTTCAGGGTAATCCTGGGCTCGTACAATGAGTTGGGACGTCTTATCTCTTCTTCAATGTCCCGGGAAAACATTTAGAGAATTGGTATTATTTCTTTCTTAAATATTTAGCATACTTCACCAGTGAACTATTCTGCTGTTAACTTTTTAGTGGCTGTTCAATTATTATATTTAAAAATTCAACTTTTGCCCAGCTCAAAAATTGTTGTGGAGGTGGTACAGGAGGGAATCAATCGATGTCTCTCTCTCACATTGATGCTTCTCTCTCTCTCCCCCCCACCCCTCCCTTCCACTCTATCTAAAAATTAATGAAAAAATATCCTCAGGTGAAGACTAACAACAACAACAAATCGGTGTGGCTCAGTGGATTTGGCATCGTCCCGCGGACCGAGAGGTCCCAGTTCGATTCCCGGGCAGGGCTCGTGCCCAGGTTGAGGGCTCAAACCCCAGTAGGGGGTGTGCAGGAGGCAGCCAATCCATTTTTCTCTCTCACATCGATATTTCTCTCTCTCTCTCTCCCCATTCCCCTCTCTAAAGAATTAAATAAAAACATTTGTTAAAAAATTCAATTTTTAAAATATAATATAGGGCCCTGGCCGGTGTGGCTCAGCAGTTAGAGTGGGGCCTGCAGACCGTAGGGTCACAGGTTAGACTCCCAGTCAAGGGCACACGCCTGGGTTGCAGGTTTGATCCCCACCCCAGTCAGGGTCGTGCAGGAGGCAACCAATCGATGCGTCTCTCACACATCGATATTTCTTTCTCTTCCCCCACCCCTGCCTTCCACTCTCTCTAAAAGTTAATGGAAAACATATCCCCAGGTGAGGAATAACAACAACAAGAACAACTACTATATATAAAAAAATATATAGGGATACTCAGATTATTTATTTTTTCATCAGTGAGTTTCGATTGTGGATTTTAAGACATTTACCTATTGTTTACAATATACGCTATTCTCTTATCTGTGGAATACGCAGTGATACGCCTCTCTTTTATTCTTTATATTGATACTCTGTTTCTTCCTTCTTTTGCTCATTCTATGTAGAAGTTCACCCATTTTACCAATCTTCTTTTTTTTTTTTTTTTTTTTTTGTTTTTTTTTTTTTTTTATCCTCACCCGAGGACATTTTTCCAATTTTTTTTGTACAGATAGAGTGGTAGGGAGAGAGAGAGAGAGAGAAACATCGACGTGAAAGGGACACATCGAGTGGCTGCCACCCGCACGACCAACCAGGGCCGGGGACAAACTGCAACCGAAGTACATGCCCTTAGCGGGAACCGAACCCGGGTCTCTCAGGACCGCAGGCCGATGCTCTAACCGCTGAGCCAAACCGGCCAGGGCTTACCAATCTTCTTAAAAAGTAGCTTTTGATTCTAATTTTCTCTATTGTTTTTCTGATTTTTTTTTTTTTTTTTTATCCTCACCCGAGGACATTTTTCCATTTTTTGTACAGACAGAGTGGGAGGGAGAGAGAGGAAGAGAGAGAGAGAGAAGCATCGACGTGAAGGGACACATCGAGTGGCTGCCACCTGCACGACCAACCAGGGCCGGGGACAAACTGCAACCGAGGTACATGCCCTTAGCGGGAACCGAACCTGGGTCTCTCTGGACTGCAGGCCGATGCTCTAACCGCTGAACCAAACCGGCCAGGGCTGTTTTTCTGATTTCTAAGTCACGGATTTATGCCCTCATCTCTAGGAGTCCCTTTTTTCTGCTTTCCAATCGATTGCTGTTTTCCACCCAGTTCTTGACTGTAATTGTCGTCATGAGCTCGAAACCGCTCTTCTTGTCCAGTGGGGCGTTCAGCTCACGTGTGTCCCACTCATGACTGCTCCAGCCGCACCCTCCAACTTTGGTACGCCGCGTTTTAATTTTCATCTGGTCCAGAATATTCTGAACTCTCCCTTTGGATGTGTTCTCTGTCCCTGGAGTTATTGAAAGGAGTATTCTTTAATGTCCAACGGTCAGGGAGATTTTTCTGGATATCTTTTTGTTAATTTCGAACTTCATTTTCCTAGTCCGAAAACATACATGAATGCTGTGAATCCTTTAAAATTTACAGACTTGTAAATCCAGTCTCTGTTACGTCATCACGGCTAAAGAGAGAAGCCCCGGAATGGCTCTTGTATTTGTAACATTCGCTATTCCTTCAGGAATTTGTGTAGTAACACAGTTCACCACACTCGGCTACACACACTCCCTGCTCATATGCTTCTCCTGGGAGTAGGTGAAACGTGGGGAGACGTTCATCTGGAAATTGCCTTAAATCAAGGCTTTAAGTACTACAACCTATGGTCAATAACACTTGGGCTATTTATATGGAGATGACGTCTGAGTGTTGTGAGTTTATGCATCTTTGTGTTGTCGATATTTAACATGTGCTCTGCCATCATTTTGTAACTTCTTTTAAAACAATTTTTTCTTTATTGATTTTTTAGAAAGGAAGGGGGAGAGAGAGATATAAACATCGATGGGCCACCTCCTGCATGCTCCCCACTGGGGATCGGGCCCACAACCTGGGCATGCGCCCTGACCGGGAATCGAACCGGCGACCTCTTGGTGCAGGGTCGATGCCCAACCATTGAGCCACACCAACCGGGCATTTTGTAACTTCTTAAGCCAAAGAGACTGTGTGGGAAGGTGGGCAAGGGTGGGCTGTTTACAGGGAGAGTCTATCTTTAAATTTTTGGTGCTTCACCGTTCTCCTAGACATCAAAATAGTTTCAACTCCTAGAAACCATAGCCACATCTACCTAAAATACAGATTCCAAAGACGCCCTGCCTCTCACTCAGTGTGTATGTAGTATCTGTGGTAACCTTTGACTGCTGATAAAACATGACATCTCTATATCTGGGGCAAAGCGATCCTCTAGGGTGTGCTGTGTCTTAACACATCTGCTTTCAGACCCAGTTGCGGTGAACATGAGTCACATATACATGCATTATTAACTAATCGGTGACAAGTTACACCGAGACCTTCTGAAAAGTCCGCATCTTTATCACCTGACTGCATGTCGTGCCCATCAGGGGCTGGCTAACTACCCATACACCCACGATGGTTTCCAAGACTCGAGTCACAGTCTGTATTGCTGTCACCACGCCAAAGTCCAGAATAACCTCATTGGTGGGACAATCTTTTACAAAACTGTGTGGTATTCTTCTGAATAAGTGTCTTGAACAGAAGCAGAGATCCTTTTTATTCCTGAAGCTGAAGGAGCACCTGCACATGCTACAAGAAACCCACCTCTCTAGCAGGGGCTGAGGGGGGGATGGACGCATTTCCCTGGCACCAGGGGCATGTCCTCACGACCCCCAAACTAGCTCTGGTACACAAGCATGGCTATATCACAACTGTCTGTTAAGCAAGACTAGAAAAGGAACATCGTTGAATCAACATGCTGAAGAATAAAAGAAATTCAAACTCCGCAAAGCACTAAAATCTAGGAACATAAAGAGAAGGTCGAGATACGATGAATACGGAATGGGAAGTAATGACGTTAAATGACGTATGTAAATCATAAATACACTCCAACGAACACATCAGAAGACAGGACTGCTGTATTAACACATTGTGATAAGGGACCGCAATAACCCCCACCGTGATGACTGAAAGGGTTGTTTTTCTCTGGAGGGCCGAGGGGCTGTCCGATGACCTTCATTCCCGGTGAAAACGGCTTGTTTATCAGACTGACACTTTATAACCTAAAGATCACGGTGATACATCAAACTATATTCCCATTAGCTTGCGTAATAAATGTTGCACGTTTGCAGAAAAAGTAGTTTTCCACATTATACACGACAAGAAAAACATAATTTAAATGTATCATCACTGCTAACAGCAGGTCACACGGCGCTCGACACTGTGGCTCAGAGTCCCCTGCGGGGTTACGATGTTTACGAGGAGATCCCCGGAGACCCCCACTCGAGCATGTTATCGCTGTGATTAATTTTTGTCCCATGAAGCATGGGTTTCTGCATGCAAATCAGCCCTATGTTTCAAAAAGCTAATATGAACAATAGAGTAACCAACGATAGTGGACACCTGGGTGTTTTAGCTCATTGAATTCTCACAGCAACTGGATAAGATAATTGCTGTTATTACTGCCACTTCTCCCAGAAGGGAACAGAGCAGACACAGGTCGGGGGAGGACATCTGTCCTCGCTTCGGCTCCGGAGCCAGGAGGAGGCAGCCCGGGCCTGGTTCCGCTTTCCCACTTGGCTGCCCAACCTCGGGAACGTCCAGAGCAGGCCGGCCCTGCCAACACGGTCAGTGTGTGAGCAAGCTTTCGGGGGGTGGTCTGCAGGAAAAACCCGATTCCCACAGATCTTTCCAGGAGACCAAGAAAGCTCTTGGACTGTACACGGCAGCCTGTGGAGTTCACTGAAACTGGATAGTCCGAAAAGCAGGACAAAGCAGGAAAAAGTTACACAGGAAACTGGTACAAGACTGCACCCAGGTGAAGCAAAACTCATGTTTTTCTTCCGACAGAGCAGAAAGTTTCTAGTAGCAGCGGACATTCATGAGTTGGTATTCCAATGTGACGCCGTTCCAGACTGGAGAGGCAAGCACCCCCCAAAGAAACACAGAGTAAACAGGAAGAACGGCTGCTTACTTCTACCTTTTGATTTCGAGGTAAGTCTTGCGCGTTGGACGGAGGCTTGTAATTCAGAACCAATCTTCTAAACTCCAAAAGATTGAATAATGACTGAAAAAGAGCAACAATTTTAAAACGTAAGAAAAAATTCTACTGACAGAACTATAAAAATATGACGCGTTTCCGAGATTCATCTTTGGCAATTATACAGGTTATCACAGAACTAACGCAACTGGTGCAAGAATTGGGAAAAAAATCAAATTACTTATATTCGGACATACTGCTCTTGACCATTAACAACATGTATTGACTGCAAAGCAGAACTTATACGTGGAGAACTAAAAACCAACACTACATCATGAGGCTCTTTGGGGAAAACTAAAGAGATAAGAAAAAGTGAAGTTAATACATGTTAAAGGAGAACCTGAATTTAAAAAAAAAAAATTTTTTTTTTAATGTTTTCATGGATTTTTTTTGAGAGAGAGAAAGGGATTGAGATAGAAACATCAATGTGAGAGAAAACCATCCAGCCCTGGCCAGTTTGGCTCAGCGGTTAGAGCGTCAGCCTGCGGTCCAGAGAGACCCGGGTTCGGTTCCCACTAAGGGCAGGTACCTCGGTTGCAGTTTGACTCTGGCCCCAGTTCGGTCATGCGGGTGGCAGCCACTGGATGTGTCCTTTCACATCGATGTTTCTCTCTCTCTCTCTTCCTCTCTCTCCCTCCCACGCTACCTGAACAAAAAATGAAAAAATGTCCTCGGGTGAGGATTAAAAAAAAACGAAAAACACATCCACTGGCTGCCTCCTGCACACGCCCAACCGGGGATCGAGCCCACAAGCTGGGCATGTGCCCTGACCGGGAACCCAACCAAGACCTCTCAGTCCATGGGAGACAGTCCATCCACTGAGCCACATCAGCTGGGCAGAGATCCCGGATTTTTTAAAAACTTGTAGCATCACTTCAATGCCATACATCATTAGGGTGACAAGCTTCTTAAATCCTTAATTCCACCATCAAGGACACATGCTCCTTTCTGGCCCATTCATTCAGTCATCCAATCACTACTAGTGGGCTCCTCCAAGGTGTCAGACGCTGCACCAGCTGCTGCTACAGACGACCTGGGCGATGTGCTCTCCGCCCTCAGAATGTCTGCATTTCACTCCACCAGGAATTGTGCAAATGAAAAGCCACTTAAAACAGAACAGACTTTAAAATGACGGTAAAAAACACAACTTCGAGTGATCTTTAGGTAAAGTTTTCTTTCCACCCATAATTTTCCAAAAACCAGTATCTTAATATTTCATTGTAACCCAAGTTTTTCAAGGTTAGAGGTTACTTCTGAGTATCTAGATTTCAAATGTGTTTCCCATCTGTAACCTCTTCAAATAAACAAAATACCCCCTTAGGTTAAAAATAGTATCTAGCCCGGCTGGTGTGGCTCAGTGGTTGAGCGTCGACCCTGCACCAAGAGGTCGCCAGTTCGATTCCCGGTCAGGGCACATGCCCAGGTTGTGGGCTGATCCCTAGTGGGGGGCGTGCAGGAGGCGGCCAGTCGATGTTCTTTCTCATCGATGTTTCCATCTCTCTCTCTCCCTCTCTCTCTCAAATCAATAAAGAAAAACATTTTAAAAATTAAAAAATTAAAAAAAAATTAAAAATATTAACTAAAAAATTTAAAAATTAAAAAAAAATAGTATTTAGATACTAAAGGACTATAATTCTACGACAAACATTTTCGAGTGTATACAAATAAATCTGATTAGATTCACAAAAACCCAAATCGAGTTCTGGTTTCATCTCTTGGTCACGTCCTTCCTTAAGGGAAACACAGACAGAAACACGTCTACATCCTTTGCACCCTTGACAACAGTTCCTGAGAGTCGGAGGGAGAAGAAATCAGTTTCAAACAAGAGATCAATTCCAAGTAATTCTCAGAAGGCCCGGGTCACGCGCCCTGTGAACCCCCCGGGACGGAGGCGCAGGTCGCGAGGAGAGCTGCGACCCCACGGGCCGCACAGAGCGCGCCGCACCCTTGCCCACAATCACGCTTCGAGCTCGGCGCTGAACAGAAACGCAGCCCCGACCCCCCCGGGTCCCGCCCCGACCCCCACGGTCCCGCACGCGGTCGCGGAGGCCCCACCTGGATCACAGCGCTGAACCAGCAGGTGTTGCCCACGTTCTTCAAGCCCACGGGGGCTCGGTCCTGCCTTTTCCTGTCGTAGGGGTTCCGAGAGTCCCTCCACACCTCCGTGGGCGCCCTCTTCAAGCACGCCTTGTTCTCCGCTATGCTGGCTTCGAGAACTCTTCATGGGGAAATCACGGAAAAGAACACAAGACAGAACAGCGTATTAATTCATGCCGGACCAGGGAACCGCACACACTACACATTTTGATGACTTCAGCTCGCGATCACGTAATGTGGGGAAGTTATGGTTAGGGCTCTCTCCCCTCAAGCAGGGGTTAGTTTTCTAAGAAAACCTAGCAGGTGGCAGCACCAATGGATCGGAAGAGATGTAGCCTTTTTTTCCTACAGAAAAGGAAATTTCACATATAAAGACAGTGTTCTCAGTAGAAAATATGTTAAGTGACGTTTCAACCAATTAGAGGTTTAGTACCACAATATCAATAGCACCTAGAGAACATTTTCTGAGAAATGTACATATTTACACTCCAGCAAAATGATTACTTTTTATCACGATTACTTTGAATGATCGAGAAAACACTAAAAACTGAAAATGCACCTTTTTCACCTCTGACTATTAATTTGCTTTTCTATAAAAAAAAAGTGAAGTTCCTTCCCGTTCTGACTCTCCGACAGCTAACTAAAGGAAGAGAACACTTATGTGTGTGCCTTTTCACCCAAAAGTGTGCCTAGGGAAAAACCCAGTTAAATCAACATCTCCATGGCGGAATAATAAAAGACTAACCTCTTCAAAATAAACTCGCCTACGGAATATCTTCAACATATTGAAACATGGCGAGAGCGATGCTACTTTGCTCTTTGATGTTTTCCTGCAACGTGCTGGGAAATCTTGATTCCCACGTATGAACTACATGTGTTACTTACTATTCCAAATAAGCATAAATAATGCTCAGGTGTCTTATCCCATTCTGTTCATTACGAAAACCTTAACAAGAATGAGTTTTTCCAACTTTTGGGGTTCACCATATTTACCCTAAAGATATTACTCTATCAGATTATATCAAAATATACAGCTGCCTCCCTGAATCATGGAGAAAAGTAGATTGTTTTATCTCTACCAGCGTTATTTACAATGTGACCCTAGATACAACACAGTGAGATCCCCAGTTATGACTTAACATGACCTGTGTGAATATACAGTAGTCCTTCCTTGGGAATCAGTTTTTAAAAGCAGGTCACGACGTATTTTAAGATGTAAAGATCAAAGCAAACTCAAATATTTAAAAATACGCAGTCTCCACCTCTGTCGCTATTAAGAGCGCTCGGACACTAGCAACACACTTTGCCTAATAACTCTCCAACGCAACCTGGGCCACTGGTGGCTTCTCATCAAACTATCTGCCACTACGGGGACCACGACTCCTTGGACGGTATTTAATTAGATAAACTGGAGCAGGGAAAAAAAATCAGCATTTATGTAGAACATCTCACTGTTACCAGAAACAAGTGTTTTTTGTTTTAAGGTTTTTTTAGAGAGAGGAAGGGAGGAGAGAGAGAGAGAGAAACATAGGTCTGTTGTTACACGTATTTATGCATTCACTAGCTGTTTCACGTATGTGCCCTGATAGGAGCTCGAACCCGCGACCCTGGTGCATCAGGACGACACTCTACCACTGAGCTCGCCAGCCAGGGCCCAGAAACAAGTTTTCAAGTACGTGAGGGGGGATAACAGTCAGACAGCCAGTTGAGACTCCCTACGTCCAAGATGGGCAGCTCAGCCTAAAACAACACAGGAATAATAATCAACCGGAAGAAGCGGACTTTGTACCCGGTAACTGACGTATGCAGAGCGGAGAAAGGTGAATCCATAGTATCCCAAAGGTAAATGTCACACACAAGACCGCATGCTGCACACAGAGGGCACGTTGAGTTTTGGAAGCGGGGGGGGGGGGGGGCTTCCTTTCGACAAGGGTGTTCCCTTTGTCACGCATTGGTGTATTTAGAAGGACAAATGGAGAAACCTCATTTCTCTCTCGGTGACAAGGGATGAATGAACTAAAAGCAGCCATGAGTGCTGGGGAACAGCTCCCCGGGAGAGAAGAATTTGCACCAGGGGCCACGTATGAGAGTCGGAGGAGAGACATCCAGCAGGTCTACGGCCCTGCTTGGCAGGCACAGAACCACTTAACGAGAGAAGCCCAGACTTATTCTCACACTATAAGGCGGTCAGAGGTCTCGGAGAATCACTTTCGATCCTGACTCTCCTGGTGGCTGAGCCTCTACCATTAGACCTTTTTAGCTACTAATCACAGTAAAATCCTCGTGAGAAACAATTCTTCTTAACAAGGGCAACAGGCCAGATCCCATTCATCATGACCAGGCAAGAAGAGGTCACACAGACACTCGTTACGGAAAACGTGAGAACACTTCATTTCTGCAGAAGACACCCAACCTGTAAACATGAAGATCCATGTATTTCAGTCACATACAGTAACAACAAAATGAGACTCAGCCTCAAGACCAGACTGAGTACAACGAAGCCATAGGTTCTCCGCAGAGTCGACAACCCGGCCCGAACCCAAGCTACACTGCCCCAGGTCACCCTACTCCTTCCGGAACCGGATAAGATGACCACGACCCAGGGAGTTGAGTAGTTCTTCACCCTCCTCTCCAGCCCATCTCCCACCAAACAAACACACCTCTTCATTGTACGTGTACATACAAAGAGTGTACTGTGAAAACTACCTTAGTGCAACCAGGTAACGGACGCTTTGCCTACTCGCCCCCACGGGACTTGGGAGAACGTATTCGAATGCTCCTTCTGGGTCCAGGCATCTTGTCCCCACTGTTTGTATCACTGCTCCACAGAGGACGCTGGGAGGAAAGACACCGTCTCCCCAGGACCCCCATTTTCCTTTCATCACAGGGTAACATGACCTACAAACTCTAGTCACTGATTAGGGCTCTAGAGATGCATGCTCATTGCTCCTCAAAGTCACCCAGGACAAAGAAACAAAGAATACTTATATTGAGGATGTCATCGGTATACAAAAATCCAACATTGCTAGAACGCTCAAATCGGGCACGTGGTAGCTATCAGCCATGGGCGTGTCAAGAAACCGGTTTATTGTAACATTCCTCACCGCACCTGTGGAAGGTGATGGTGCGGAAAGAGGGTGGAGGCAGGAAAGCCAGGACGTGGCACTCTCCTCGAGGTAGGGATGGTTTAGACACATCCAGTCTGGTATCGCCAGGGACTTAACACATGCCGCAGTAGGTTTCTTCTACCTCCTCCTGGTTTCTAAGGGGCTCAACAAACACATCCATCTACTGCACCCCAAGTGTGTGTTAATCAACCCATCTCCCTTGAGCTCTGGAGTTTAGAAACACAGATGCTGCATTCCTAGAACACCCCTGGTACGTAGGAGGGGCCAGGTACGTGTTCAAAGTCAATGGATGATGGAGATGCCTCTTTGTTATTTTTCTTAAGCAAAAGCCCAACGTATAGCACAAGATACCAGTCTATTCCCAAGCCCTCTGTTCCTTCCTACAGCCCAGTACCAGCAAAACAAAGGTCAACCTTCCATACATACAAAGCCAAGTCCTACACAGGGTTCCTTTCCTGGCCTCACGAAAGTCAAGCCAGTGGCACTAACAAGGCTTCGACGCTACATCCCAGGTATAAGGTTGGCAGTACCCCGTACAGGGACCAACACACACACACACAAACCCACTGCCAATGTCAAGCAGAAAGACCAGAACCCACAAATGGAAACCCAGCCCCACTACACTTCACCTGCTTCCTCGTCTTCCCGACACCGGTCACGACCACGCACTCAGTCACACACACAGAGCAAAAGATGACAAGCTGTTTGCTGTCTCTGCTCCTTCACACATCACCCTGAAGGTTCACTTTCCTATTAACCTGTAATGTACTGGCTGTGGGTCACTGTTTGTTGTTGTTGCTTTATTTTGCTTTGCATTGTTATTTAAATTGCAGTCTAACAGTCATGTTAAAAACATCCCATTTAGATCATCTATATCCATTCTGAGGAAGCAGTGACCATGATGCCTTTAATTTAAGCTGTATAGACGAGGTGATAAAGGGAGGGAGGGAGGGGGGAAGAAGGAAGGAAGGAAGGAAGGAAGGAAGGGAGGGAGGGAGGGAGGGAGGGAGGGAGGGAAGGAAGGAAGGAAGGAAGGAAGGAAGGAAGGAAGGAAGGAAGGAAGGAAGGAAGGAGGAAGGAGGGAGGGAGGGAGGGAGGGAGGGAGGGAGAAATCAAGTTGATTTCCTTAAAAAAAAAAAAATCCACTGGTATTTTTATTGGGATCACACTGAACCTATAAGTCAATTTAAGGAGAACCGACCAGTTTTACGGTGTTCAGCTTTCCAATTGATGAAACAGACTACATTTCTAGGTATTAAATATTTATTAATCTGCTTCAATGATATTGAATACCTTGCTTCTTGGAAATTCCTACACATTTCTTACTAAATGTATTCCTAGTCTTTAATAATTTTGTGCTAGAAACGACAGCTTCTACAAGTTTCGCCTTCTCATTTGCTCTTATATACAGAAGTGTAATTTCTGTATATTGATTATCAACGTTAGTAACATAGCTAAATACGTTTTTTTTTCCCTTGGGAAGAATACTTTATTGAGAAATAACGTACATATAATAAGATACACACATCTTATATGTACAGAGCCGTGACATTTTTTACATATGTACCCACCCACCCATGGGACAACCACCCAGATCAAAATACAGACGATTTCCATGATTCCAGAAAGTTCTTTCACGCCCTTTTGAGTCCGTGTTTTCTCCGATCCGTTGTGCCGTCCTCAAGCGTCACACACACGGAATCACAGCGGTTCCTCCACGCCAGGTCTCTGCCTCGCGGCTGCTGCGGAAGGCGCACACCCGTCAGGTCCCGGGAGACGCCTGGCACAGTGCTCAGGGGCCCGAGCCACCCCCACTGCTCCCTCTCCTGCTCACTCAATCTGCTGCTGTCGCTGTTACAGTTTCGTGAGCCACAAAGCTGCCACGGCGGCAAGGAGTGGAGGTGCCCGTCCAGCACGGCCGGTGTGGGTTCACCAGGGACCCCCGTGTCCCAGCGGCTGCCCAGGACGTCGCTCCCCGCGGCTAGGACGGGGC